GAGCTGGAAGGATGCACAGCAGACAGGGGCTGCCCAGCTCCCCAGCTCAGCTACCTCCTGCCCCCAGAGGCTATGCTGGCACCAGGGAGGTGTATTCCTCTCCCCGCACCAAAAAGTGGGGAGGGGCAGGAAATCCATGGACCCCAACACATAGCAGGCACAGGATGGGGTGTGAAGGGGACTATTAGTTGTCCCCTGGTCATCCCCTGGGACCTGCACTAGGGCTGTATCCTGCTTCACTACTCAGGGAGCTGGGAGTTGGATTGCAGCACCCTACACACCCACAGCCCCTGCCCGCCCACCCCCCAGCCCTGCAGCGCTGCCCACCTGCATCGTCTGCTTCGCTGGGGCCATGGCATGGTTGCTAGGGAATTATTATGACAGAATGTCCTATTGTGACAGAACACGGGCGCTAAGGCCTTCTGTGAGGAGCACCTGGGGGCTGGCACATACAGGTCGCCTAGTCCCAGTGCTTGGGGCTGAGAGGCAGAGATGCCTCCTGCCTGGCGTCGGGCTTTTCCCATGTCTACACATCCTTCTCCCAGCTCTCTGTAGTGCAGAGCATGTACACAGGGCAACCAGTCTGCCACAGGGGGTGTCCAAGTCACCATCAGGGCCCCCAACATGTCAAACTACTGTGGGGGGAAATGGCCTCTAGCTCTCCTCTGCCACAGTGCTTCCTCTTTCCCTTTTCAATTGCCCCTGATTACTCCATCATGCTGACACCTCTCTTGATGACTTAGGCGTTGCTTCATCACAGATGACAGAACTCAGAAAAGCAAGGGTTGCTTAGGGTGAGATCCTTTATTGGACCAACTGTGTAGTTAGGATAAAGTTAGACAAGCTTTCTAATGTAAGCCATTCTTCCTTCGGTCTCTGAAGAGTCTCTGAGGAAGAATGTCTTATTCATACACTTGTCTAACTTTATTCCAACTACATAGTTGGTCCAGTAAAAGCTCTCACCCTAAGAAGTTCTTGCCTCTCACATAATTTTTGGACCATCAGAGCTACAGCATCACTCTTACGCTACAGACATCAGAAAGGCTGAGTCCTAAGGCCAAGTTAAGAGAGTGCAGTAACCCTAAAGCAGGGGTGGGCAAAATGCAGCCCACAGGCCGGATGTGGCTTGCCAGGCCATTCTATCTGGCTTGCAGGGACCTTAAAAAATTTAGAAAATGAATATTTTTCTGCCCATGGCTGCCTGTCATGTGGCCTTTGATGGCTTGCCAAAACACAGTAAGTGGCCCTCCACCCAAAATAATTGCCTGCCCTAAAGCAATGCATCCCACCATCTTTTGGGAGTCGTGCCTCAGCATTTCTTTTCTTGTGCATTTTGTCACTGACAGAGGGCTTAGCAATTGAGTGACTCCTTCCCACTTTGTCTCCAGTTTTCTTACCTTCACCTGGACAAAGAAATACGTTGTTTAGATTCTCCTTCTTGCATGCACTTGTGGTTGCAGAGATGTTTTAAAATCCCCAGTTTTTGTGAAGGTTCCTTTAACAATCTTTGATATTGTGGTTATAAAAGCTTACTGCATGTATTCTCAGCATCTTTTGTGGAGGTTTTTCCCCCCTTCTCCTCTCTTTTTTGGCTACAAACCTGCACAGCATTAATTCAGTGAGAATGTGTCATTCAATCTCATTTATTGATTCGGACAGATGATACTAAAGTGTCAGCACTTCCATCATCACTTCACAGTGCTCAGAACTGTAATTTCTCTTTTCATCTTTGATGACATTTTGTGTCAAGACAATCATGAATTTACCACGCTGCCTTGAGGACAAAAGCAGCAGTAATAACTCTGAAGGAGCAGGACACCCATTTAATATAATTAGCTATGTATGACGTTACCGATTGCATTTGCCCCTTGTCACTGATACTTAACCTTTCACCTTTCTCCTTGAATGAAAAAGCACTTCCCAACGATCTGATAGTGAATTATCAGATGAGCACAGTTAAAGCTGACACAATCCATTTTTTTCTGGTATGGTTTCTTCCTCACTAGAAATGCCATTTAAAGCAAAGCAGAAAGCATTTTTCTCATATCTTTGAGTAGATCATGAATACTGTATTTGAATTTTGGAATTGCAGTGCGATTAAAGTCGAAGCAAGTAAAGACATTCCTCGCAGTAAATCAACCAAATACACAATGTTTTATAACTGCAGAACAATTTATTGTCACACACACATCTCCATAACAGACAAAATGGAAATACCCTCACATTGAATGTGTTCAGTTCTTTAAACTTGCTGGTTTGGTTATGAATGTATGGTAACTAGCAGTTCCTTTTAAAATGCTTCAGGCTTCCTGGATGCACAATAGTAGATGATTTCTGAGTGAAGGCATTAGTGGAGTCAGAATTAGATAATGATAGTAGGAGCAGTACATAGTAGAAATTCAGTTATTGATCTGAATTGAGTCGCAATGGACAGCTGAATTTGTGCTTTCAACATTCATACAAAAATTCATAAATATTCCATTTTAATGGATACTGGTGCATTCTCAGAAACTAATTTCCCTATTTTTATAAAGGTTTTCCATGGGAATCAGGTTCATTTAAGTGCTAAACATAGTATAAAGGATGGATATATATCAAAATACACATGGACTGATCACCGGGGGCACAAAAGTGAATAAATTTTGTGGTTCTTACAATTTTCTTTCTTTTGCAGAGGGGAAGGAGCTTTATGCATTAACACCAAATGTGGTAATGAAACTGGTCTTCCAGTCACTAAGGATAAGCTTCCACTTGGAATGTAGTTCAGTGTATAGCTCCATGGCCTAGCTTGGACACAAGAAGCAGCACAGAGTAACTTGTGCAGAACTTGTGGCTACTCTGCTTCTGGTAGTTTGTTTAGCACAAGCAGACACTCTTTGCCTACACATGCAAATTAAAGCTGGATAGAAACCAGCTTGAAGTTATTACACATTTTTTAGTAATAACTTTATAGTTGGTTGGACCTTCTTAAGGGGCCATAGTTAATTTGCATGTGTATCCAGTCTAAAGTTATTGTACAATTAATCTGATAATTGCATAATAGATATAATGTGTAGAGGGGGCCTAAAATACATCTCCATATCAGTGCTGTTGTACACTTTTAAAAAACAAAACCACAATCATCCTTTAATGACCTGCATCATCTCTTTCATCACCTAAATGAATCTGACTGTGTTGCCTGTAAACTGTGCCCCCTAAAGTGCAGCTGCTTAGAAAAAGATAATGAATGATAAATTAACTCTTTACATAAACTCCTAAATAAAGCAGCATTTCCCACCCTTCTAAAAGATGGCAGGGAGGGGGAGGAACAAGCACAAATAGATTAAAAATAGGTTGGACTGTGATTCTGAAAAGACTTCATGAACATGCTTTGTTCTTGAACTCAATAGGACCACTCATGCTGTGAAAGTTAATAACCTGGAAATCTTTAAAGGCAGCCACTGTTAAAATTAAAGGGGATGTTTGAAAATCTTACCCTTAACAACGGAAGGACACATCCCTGAGCGGCAGGTCACGGCTCAAAGCTCCCTAAGCATTTCCAGAAAGGGAAACCTACAGAATCTCGAGCAAAAAAGGTCCTTCATCTGTGAGGATCTATGGCTGTGCTCTGTGGGTGATGGTGCTACAGTAAGCAGGTGGGGATAATTAGAGAGTTTGGCCACCTGGAATAAATCAGCACTGAGGGAGCTGGTGTTTTGAACATGTTCCAGATGTCCTAAGGTGGCAAAAGATATATGTTCTGATTTTAACTAACCTGATCCTGTTCCAAATTGGAACTGTACAAGGACATGACCTCTTACATGATTGCAGACCCCACCCTTGCAATGCAAGTAGGCTGTGATCAAGGAGCCTTTAATTACAGAAATGAAACAGATGGCAAAAATAGCCTGCGCACCAGCTTATGTTTTTAAAAAGATACAACTAACAAGACAGGCATTTCACATTTTTGGCTAGGTCTTCTGATTAAGAGAGTAGGACTTAGGGCTTCTCAACCTTTTTAGACTCAAGGTACCCCTCAAAAATATCAGCTTAGTTTTTGTTCATTTTTTACTACAGAAAAACAATACAGCAATTTTTCTATTACAAAGGACTCAGAAAGACTACAAATCAGAATTTTATAACAATATGGATTTTTATATGAAGTCATTGGGTTTGTCTTGTGAATCCCGTTTGCATATACAACAGTGTTACTGTCACAGGGTGCTATTTGACTTGACAGCTCTTCGCTCTCAGGCCCTAATTTTTCCCTTGCTCCTGTATGTTTTGCCTGCTGTGCTGTGCTGAATGAAACTATGGGAGGCTGGAGAAAAGCTATGTCCTGGAAGCACTTTCCAGGTGTGATTTCCTTTTCAGTCCTAAGTTCTTTTACTGGAGCTGTCTTTCACTGTGCACAGAGTATATTCTGTCCAGGGCTCCTCCACCCCTACACCCTGGTCCATCTCTCACCCATTGATCTTAATGATTTTGACTGTCATGTACGGAGTATAAATCCATTTCTCTCCCTAATACATTCCCAGTAAGTCATAATCAGAGTCAGTCCATTTGCACACCACCAAAAATAATATAAACTAAAAAAAATAGACAGTACAATCTCAAGTGTGCCAACTCATATCTTCAGTAATTCTTCTGTCTATATGGACCCTCTTACCTCAGAGGACTCTCATTAATTCCCCTTGTTACTCAGTCTGTGGGGTTTCAGAGTGACCTTCACCAAATCGCCACTGGATAGGGTCTTCCCTTTATTCCGCCTCCTCACCCAAATCACAGGCTGTGTCATACAAGTCTCTCCAGCCCGTCAAATTTGCAGACCTTTCCATGTCATCCAGCAATTGGCCTGATGTGTCTTATTACTACAGGCAGTAGCCCCGCAAACCATGGACACTGCCTCAGTTATGACCCATGCAGTCCTCTTCCCCCCTACCCTGTTACCAAACAGGGCTCTAATCACAATTCCTGTGAATAGTTCCCCCTCCTGGCATCAGGTTCTCGATATTACTCACAGTTTCTTCTGGTTTCTGTTCATCTCTTGTTTCTTGTAGGTCACTGGCTACCTGGGAGCTCCGTGTTCAGCAAAGAGAGCCCCACAACTTCCTCCAGCTCACCACCGGCACTCCGGTTCTTCCCCCAAACTTGTTTGCTCATGCCTCTGTGCCAACACCTGGTAAGTCTTTGTTCCCAGTTCTTTCCTCCTTCCCAGGGGAGAGCAATATACCTTAGTGTCAGCAATATTTCAGCCTCCCCCTGGCCTGGAACTCCATAGTCCTTTTAAGCTTCTGCTTTCCTCAACCAGCCTTGGAAAATGCTGGTTTTAAAGAGACCATGCCCACAGCGGCGAGGTCTCACCGCAGTATTTCTGGTCCCGGCTTGTTAGGGAGGACGAGTGTAGCAAGGTCAAGACCCAGCTCCCTGCAGAAACTACCAGTGCATGGCATTCTGCACTACCCTTGAAAGGATTTCAGCATACCCAGGGATGCTGCAGCACTCTGGTTGAGAATCCCTGGGTGCTTCTACATGTGCCTCTTTTAAGTTGGTTTAGCTTAAAATAGCCATTTTTAAGGCACATTAAGGGTGCATATCTACATGTGCATGCCCTTAATGAGCCTTAAAAATGGTGATTTAAGGCTATATGGGCATTTATACACGTACCCTATTATCCTGTAACACACTGGAGATCCGCCACTTTGCAGCAAACTCAATCCAGTCTGCTCTGTACGTGAACTAACACACATTGTGCTGCGCCACGTGCAGTTGTATAAGTGGTGAAATGTGTGTCAGCACGTAGAAAATGGTGGTCGTGCGCTTTTGAACTAACGCACCTCTCAGGTGTTTCAGTTCAAAAGTGCACCAACGCCATTTTCTTTGCGCTGATGCACATTTCGCTGCTTATATACGTCTTACAGCGCTAGGAGCTTTTCAAACTGCCCAGTGTTGTGGTGCTTGCACATGTCAAAAAGCCCTGTGAGCCTAAATTTTATACCTTCATAAAGCAGGTATCAAACTTAAGCATGACTAGTTAAGTTGCATTAGCGCATGTGTGGATGTGGTAATGCGTGTTAATGCAGTAAGCATCAATGGACACACACAGCATTAATGCACATTAATGTGTCTGCATGTGCACTAATGCAACTTAGCTATTTGCACCTAAATGTAATGTGCCATAATGTGCACCTAAATCACCTTAATGCACCTTAAGGAAAGGTGTATTAAGTTTAGGCATGCATAATACATGTGTAGACATGCCCACTGATTTAGGAGAGCTGGTATCTATTCCCAGCTCTGCCACAGACTTGCTGTGTGATATTGGGCAAGATCAGGACCTCTGGGTTTCCATTCCCTATCTGTAAATAGGAGACAGTGATATTTCTGTTATCTATGGGACACTTTGGATAGTGGCTGTTTCTTATCATGTATTTGTTCAACATCTAGTAGGGTGGGCTCCAGTTTTCATTAGCACCATGCATTGCTATTAGAATACAAATGAATGAGGGGATTCCTGGCACCTAAACCCGAGAGCAGAGGGCCTGTGAAGCTCACCATCTCAACCAAAAAACCTGATCTGCCCATACATTAGAGCTGGGCAAGGTGTTGCTTAGATTAAAAGCCCCTTGACTTTTTTATACACTGATTTTAGGAGGGGGAAGTAATCCCTAAAATGTCTATTGCCATTTCAGACAACTGTCCGGCAGGTCAGTGCTTTGCTACAAATTGTGCGCTGTATCAACATCATTCAGAATAGTATTCTAAATAGTAATACTTTATTCATAATGTATTATTAATTTGTTATCTTTGTCCTTGATAATGTAATAATGTTATTGCTACTAATGATGATGATGGCGGTAATAATAGCATAATTCCCTGCCTTTCCTCCGTGCCGGCCCCAGTACCAGGTTTTGCCGCACCCCCACGCTTGCGCAGAACAGATGCCTTCACTCCTAAGCCATGGGCGTCACCCCACCCCGGTACCCCACGCATGCGCAGGAGAGTCCGTGCCTTCGCCACCCCCTTTCCCTTTCTTCCCCCGCACCAGGGTTCCAACCAATCAGTGCACCAAAGAGCACTCACGCTTACCAATGGGGGAACACGCCCCACCCCCCGCGCTAATCGACTCCTTATTGGCCATTGAGGGCACCAAGCAGAGGACGCGGGGGGTGGGGTGTGCCCGCCCCCTTACCACATGACTGCTGCGATTCCCTATTGGCCAATGAGGGCACTGAGGGAGGATGGGGGAAGTGGTGTGCCTCTCTAATATCACATGACCGCCGCGACTCCCTAATGGCCAATGAGGATGCGAGGAGAAAGGTGCCTACCTCTGATTGCGTAATCACCCGCGTGTCCCTATTGGCCAATGAAAGCCCAGAGGCAAGGACACGATGGGAGTATGTGCCCTCTCCCTGATCACGTGACCCCCGGTTCGGCTTCAGGGCCTCGCGGCCCACTTCCGTTTCCGCCCCGGAAGTGCAGGTTGGGGGGTGCTGCCGGCGGCTCCTCCGTTACTGCGGCCCGCGGCGGATCCCAGGCGCCGGTGCCGCTCCCCCGGCCCCGCCGCAATGCACGCGCGGCGCCCCGATGGCTTCGACGGGCTGAGCTATCGCGGTGGCGGGCGCGACGAGCCGGGAGCCGCCAGGTCCTTCAGCGCCTCCTCGGACCTGAGCCACTGGGTCAGCAGCCCCCCCGACATCCCGGGCAGCCGCAACCTGCACTGGGGGGACAAGACCCCGCAGGCCGGGCCCGGCGCAGCGCCCACCCCGCTCGGCCTCATCGAGGAGCCCTGCTTCGCGGGTGCCGGTTCCAGCGCGGGTAAGGCCGGGGGGCACCGCGGCCTGGCGCCTCCCCCCGGCGGGGCAGCGGGAGCCTGCCGCTGCGACCGCCCGCGGGAGGCCCCTCACGCAGCCGGCCGGGCTGGAGGAGGGAGGCGCGGGGCTTCCTTGGGCAGCCTCGAGGGCAGCTGGACAGCAGGGCGGGCGCACACCTTCAGGCATGACTTGAGGCTGCTCAGTCTCTGGGTTGCAGGCCGTGTCCAGCCTATGTGTTGTCATCTGGCCTCTGTCGCGGTTCCAGCGGGGAGTCGTGCTGCTGCCCTGCTTCCAAGTCTCTGGCCCCAAGGGGAGCCCCAAACCCTGGATGCTGCATCCAGGACCAAGTGCTGGCACAGGACAGGACAGGGCAGACGGAGCATTGGGCCTGCGGGGCCCGATCCTGGTGCTGGGATTTGGGTCTGGCTGCCAGCCACTGCTCCCTCCCAGCACATTGGGGCAGGGAGGGGGGGGAGGTGCTAGGCCTTGGGGCCAAATCTGGCCCCCAGATAGGCCCCGTGTCCCATGTGTGTATATATACATGTATAGCACAAGCTTGTGTGAACCCAAGTCTAGTTCGTCAGATTAGATGCTTTAGTCATGGACGATCCTACTTTTATCGGGGGCTGGACTGGATGACCTCATGTGGCTCCTTCCAGCCCTACTTCCCTATGTGGGTGAGAAGGACGATGCCAATAAATCAATAGGTTGGACTGCTACATCCAACTTGCTGTTTGGTGGCAGAGCAGCAATAAGTTTTCAGGAGGAATTCAAAAGCATTGGGGTTGATGTGCGATAGTCAGCCGTCTTAGCCTACATCATAGGCCACTTTAATTCTCAGTCTGCATCGTCTCTGGTCTCTCCTTTATTTCTGGATCCATTTAAAAACTTTTTCTTCCTAAGTTTCTTTAGCTGCTCAGTAAACTGTCTCTTCTCTAGCCAGCCCACTTTGGCTTTTGGGCATCCACCCTGTCTGATCTCACCCCCCATTCGTTTCTCTAATTACAGCTTTGGGAGAAGCGGTTGTTAATCTAATGTTCACATCTCCTCTGAAAACTTGCAATTTAGACAATATATTTTCTTTGCCCATTGTAAAACTGTCTTTTGTACCTAATATAGTTATGTCCATTATGTTTTGATAGTTCCTTTTTTAATATACTTACTTTCTAAAGTATTTTGTAATGCTAGTGCATTATGTAAAAAGGTTTCCCTTACACTTCTAATACATGCTAGTAGATGCCAATACAATAAATGCCAAGACTGTGTGTCCTCACTTAAGAGAGAGTGCCCATTATATACCTGCTTTGATTTGAAATCCATACTAATTTTATGTCTGCTTATATAAAAATACTGAAAATTGAACATTACACTAAAGAAAGCTTCACTTATTGTATGAGGACCACTCTTTAAGATAAAAGTTGGTCTGCAAGGTAAGAAAGAGAAGTAGATTTTATTTTTGTTTGATTTATAAGGGGAGGCCTGAAAAGCTGTGTGCACTTAATTCTTTTATTAAAAATGCCTGTTTGTATGCTTCAAATATATCTTCAAATAAATGCATTAAACTGATGTTCATAATCCACCACCTATCCTCAACAAGGTGCTATTGTCCAAAAATTGATCTTTGAGTGTACCCACTCCCAGTCTTAACCTTCTTAGAGCACATCCAAAAGCTGAGAAAATACATAGGTCTTTCAGCAGTTTTAAAGAGCATGAATAGGAACTTTTTTTTTAGTTTCTTGGTATCACATATATTAGTCATTGCCTTTCTAGAAAACTAGAATAAGTAGAGGGTTGATGCTGCACTATAAAAAGGCCTTTTAGACCCTCTTTGCCTCATAAAGAAGTAAAAAAAAAAAAAAAAAAAAAAAAAAAACCCAAATTTGGGCACCTGCCCCAGTCCCGCTCCCTCCCTCATCGTAGGGGCCTTGATCTGCCCTGCTTTCCTCACACTCCTTTCCTAATCCCTCCTCTTCCACCACAACAGCCTTACTAGCCAGACACTGCTCTTTAAGATACTGGGCTGCATATTGGAAATCGGATTGGTATCAGCTGATATTCCTCCTTAAAAATCAGCTATTGGTATTGGCCCCAAAAAATCTCTATCAGTGCACCCCTAATGGCATTGTGACCTAGACCCTCTGTTCCAATTTTTTTGTCTAGCAGTATTGTTCAAGGGAACAGACATCCCTGAAATAATCCTGATGAAACTGTGTGATATGCTGGGATCTTGGTTTTCTCTAATAAAAAAAAAATCACAAGTTCTGACAAAAAATTACAAATTCTCTGATTTAAAAACCCCAAAATCCATTGTTAAAATTAACCCCCCCCTGCAGCACCCCATAGCCTCTCAACCCCCTCCCAGTGCCTCCCCCAGCCCTGCTGGTGCTCCTCACTGCCCCCACAACAGCCCCCCTGCCCTACTCACCTCTTGTCCCACAGCCCCTGCCCCCCAACCCTGCCAAAGGGGGCAGCCAGGGTTATGGGGCCACGGACCCAAGTCTGCAGCTTCTTGCCCCCAACAGCAGGCAACTGCAGCAGAAGCAGCATGAAGCTGGCTCCCCAACTGCTGGCAGGGGGTGGGCTGGGGCCAGCTCCTGGCTCCCCCTGCAGCCCTGATGGTGCTCTCA